GCCACACGTTCAAATTTGATGAGGCCGAAATTCTCGCAAGAGGTGACAATCACGTGAACCGAGAATTACTTGAGTCATGGTTCACGGGGCCCTTATCCATAAACAAGTGCAACGATTTGCCCAGTCCTTATTCGGTGCTGAGACTCAATTTGGCCAAAGCAAGTCGCCACTTGGGGTACGGACAGGCCTACGCAAACACCACAGAGCCAGGTGGCCGAGCAATCATCACGCCCCAGTCCACCACGCGTGATGGAAGTTCAACAGGTCAGAGCCCGCATGTCCTCCAACAAACTATCCCCGCAGAAGAAGGCAATTAACTTTAATTGTCTCTGTGTGTTCGCAGCATAGGACTGTGTCCTACAAATACTGCAAACCCCCTGTGCACCTATTACCCATGTCTGCTACTGCTCTCTGACTATGTCTCAAATGACTAATCCGCGACGGATCTCGAAACGTCGGCGAATAAAACTATTGTCCCAGCGATCGAGTCATCTTTTTCCCAATGATGTTAACATCAGACCATTCAGGATGCTTGGCGAGTCCATCAAAATCACAGACTGTGTGCTTAAAATGCATTTTTTATCTAACAACTGGTCCCCAAACAGATAGCCGTTGTCATCCTAATATTGATAAAATTAGGCTAGACGGTCACACTTGTTAACAAATTAGAATAATTCGGATAATTTACTTACGCTTAGGAGAAATCAAAGGCGAAAAAAGCGAAAAAATAAAGATTGCAGTGCCCAAAATTCGCAGTGCTTGAAAGTATCTTGCTATATTTTTGGTGGTGATTAAGCACAGTGAGTTGTATCATTTCGCAGAGCTGAATGTCAGCAAAGGGGAATCACCTTTCATATAACACAATCAATTTTAGCTACTTCCAATACGCATAAAGGAAATAACACAGGAAACTAAAGTGGAAAGCACCCACGATAGATTTCTTGGAGAACCGTCCCCTACGTTTTTTGAACCTCCATTCTGGGGACTGTTGCAATACGGGCAAGCAAAATAGCAGTAAAACTTCGCTTTTTCAAAAATTTAAAATTCAATTGCAAAATAATCGTAAAATTTGAAATCAATGAAATGATTTACCGAGAGGTCTTGTTTGAAGCCCTCACGATGGCCGTAGGGAAACCATTTTAGGAGCTAAAATGCAAAAGAATTTTCTCAAAGCGATTGGCGTAACTTACCGCAATAATCTGCTTAAAATAGGTTTGAGACTGCAGCTTGACGATCATGTGTTTCCAGTAGATTAAATAATCTTCATATTCAATGTCCTCTAGACAGTTATCGTTTCGAGCCAAAAGAGACTCAGATGCGCTGGTCAAACGGTGGGCGCGAGAACTGGCGTCCAAGTATTCCTGCGTGAGGAATCTAAACAGATTTCATATTTAATTAAAAAACAAACTTACTCCAAAAGATTCAAGTAGTCCTGGTAGACTTGTTCCACCTTTGATGTGTCGGAGCAAAACCTCTTCCATCTTAGCAAGAGTAAGTGCTTGGCAATCACAATCTCGCTCATTCGATCGAGAAAGTACTGCGCAACCAGAGATGGTATGGTTCTTGAATTAAATTCGCCCTTGGAACAGGTGTTTTGTTCCAAAGTCATCTCTTCAGCCTGCAGCGTTATTTGCCGCGGCCCGGCTACTTGTAGGGTTCGCTGAAGAATCAACTTCCGCTGGCGTCGAAAATGTTCGGGGTCCCTCGGGATGTAAATTGAGCTAAAGCAGACATGATCAGCACCCTACTGAATCTTACCTCATCCCCTTTGAGGGGATACCATGAATTAATTCATTTTCTTCTATTTGAGCTTTAAGATCCTGAAAATCCGACTTGAGACCGTCTTCTTGGCTTTTTAAAACTTCTTCCTCTTCTTCCATTGTCTGTTAAAGGTAAAAGAGTTTGTGAGCAAAGTTATAATTCAAAAAAAGAAAATGTTTCTGTACAAGAGGTGAAATAGACGGAAATAGTGCTTTTGTGGGTTCGACACTTGCAGTGCCGTTCTGGAGAAAATGCCTACAAAACATCCATATTCACAGAATAGAATCGTCTTTGCGGCAAACCAGGATATGGTAGCCTAAAAGCTAAAGTGTTCAGGTAAGCAATCAACACTATGCAAGTCCTGAACTATAACAGCAACCGCCCAATCGGTGACAAATGCAGTTAGGTAAGAGCGCTATTTTGGCGCGTTGAGACGCATTGCCACGAAGCGGAAGACAAAGTTGCTGAATTACAACACGTTCGACGGGTACTGAGAGCGAATAGTTACCCGCGCAATTTTGTCAACCAATGCATACGCAAACGAGAGAAGAGCCAAATCCTACTGACCCAAACGTTTAGCGAGCTCTTCCGTACATGAAGAATATATCGGTAGCGGTCAGCCGTCTACTTCCCCCACTTGGAGTTGGAGTTGCGTACAAGCCAGAAGCAACCATCAGGTGCCGGGTCATGAGGCCGAAAGACCCACTGCTACGACAGGAAACGGCTGGAGTCGTTTACCGGATCTGGTGTAGTTGTGGACACAGCACCTACTTCGGAGAAACCAGGAGATTACTCCGGATGGGATTTGGCCTTCACATACGGTGTACTGAGAAATTTCCTGAGCAAGAGAATCAGTCACTTGGGAAGGGCCGAGTGCAGCAACAACTCTGACGACAGTGGGCATAATTTTCGCGCCATTATCAAGCCCGAATCCGACGCGGGCAAGAACACTGGCAATTAATGAGCCATCACGATTATCTATGATTAAGGATTCCCGACGGAATTCAAGACATCAGGACAA